ATCTCCAGAAATCAGTTTAAAGGGTAATAAAATAATTGTTGCTGTAATATTTTCCCTATAATTATTACAAAAACATACAAAAACGTTTAAATAAGTATTTATATTTGTGTACAAGCTGTTTAGATTGTCAAAAAGCCTGTGTTTTTAGGGTTATTAACAAAGTTCATGTACTCAGACCAGTAATATTTGGGGTCACAAGTTTTCGCCATGGATATTTTGTGGGTCAGAAGATAAAAAAAGTTTGGGAACCACTGGTTTAGATCATCCAGGGCTCCACCTGCTGGATTTCATAAAGGAAAGCTTTTCTGCTGCAGTGATCAGTAAAAACAGGAGGAAGCAAAGAGTTGGTAAAGAAAAAACATACAAAAAAATCAGGGTAAACTACTAGCATTTCTTAAAGTAAAATAAACTGCAGTGTCTTTCTCAAGTGTTTAACTTTTGCTTTTCTATTTGTGTAAGCATGTGAAAAACATTATTTTGCAGTGAAAATCTAAATAAACTGACACCATGAACCAATGGATTACCATATCCAAATAAAATACAGAGATATATTCTCATAAACAAGCTTTTTACTCATAAGATTTAAAATTAATATTTCAAAACAACTAGTTTGTGATTTGGGTCAGTTAACTTTTGGCTGTGTTGAAATGAATATGAACCATTAACTTAAATGTATTAAATCAGTAAAATAATAACATAACAAGATTATACATAATTTAGCACAATTCCTACTTTGCAGAAATTAGTTGTTCCCAGTTTATTGACTGAAAGCGCCCCCCCGGGAATAGTGAACACTGTATTCTCCGAGTTTCATTGAACGCACCACGGATCTACAGGAAGTAAGCTGTCGGAGTGATTTCTGTTTCTTCCAGGAGGCGATGTAGCTATCCAAAATAGCTAAAACAGGGCACAACCGCTGCCATTAGACTCATACCACGCTGCTAACACGATTATGATTTCTTAATAATTTTTTTTTGCGTCATATTCAATAAGATAACGCGATCGCGGAGGACAGCTAAAGCTAAAAAAAACAACAAGGTAAGTCGGCAACTGTCGGAAGCATCCTACTAGCAACAAGAACAAGACTCCTCGGGCTAAGTTAGCTCAATGTTTTTAGGTGAAAAGTTTTTGTGATGGCAGGTTGTTACCTCTGAGTTTTCAGTCTGTATTATCTATTAATTAATTTATTTATTTATTGGCATTTTAAATATGAGAACTGAAGCGGTGCGCGCGCTTGTAGAGGGCTAAGTTCATGCTAAGTGCAATCATTAATCATGACATAAGGCAGCAGCTGTAGTGCTGACAAATGCACAGTACGTAGGATTCGTTCAGAGTGTGTTTGTGAACTAAGTCACGCTTTACATGCATTTTAACCAATGCAACACTTAAAACAAGTCGCAAACTGCATATTTGAACAAAGAGCACAAAGTAGCAATTTTCTTCTCATATCAATGGTTAATGTGTCCTTAAATTAAACATTTGTATGCAAACTGTTGCCAACGCTCACATTTGTTTGTTTACAAACAGCTGTTTAGTATAGACAATTGACAATTTTATTGTGTTGGTGTGTTCGCTCATATGTAAGTAAAGTATGCATTGAGTGCGTACCCGCATTTTAGAACTGCGTCTAGAAAACTACTCTTTCTCAATTCAAGTTTTTATGCGTTTGCAGTTACAGACTACACACAATATGTAGTGTTCATTTTATTTATTTACTTATTTTTCTTTTTGGTACATTTCTGATTGCCCATTTTTGTAATACCTGTACAAAAATAAACATTTGAATACCACTAATGACTCGGCACCTTGAGTAGTTGCACGTGACAGGTTTCCTGTCCTTTCTGTAAGTAGACATTTTGCTTTTATTGTGTTAACGTGCTTGTGTTGTGATGGGTTTCGTTTTGTTTACTCTTCGCAGCTGTGTAGCATGCTGGACGTGGGGAAGTGGCCAGTGTTTGCGCTCCTTCCTCCCGAGGAACTACGGCTTATCCGGCAAGCTTGTGTGTTTGGCAGTGCTGCGAACGAAGCCCTTTATGTCACAGTTAACGATGAGGTAAGGTTTAGGCGTCAGGCGAGGGCGCCTTTAATCCTTTCATTTGGAACTGAGCGGTGCTGCTAGACTCGGCTGACCTAATCTACTTTCATAGTATTGATTTGATCGTTTTTTCTGTTTGGAAGCAAATGAGAAATGCTTCGGGCTTCTCACTCTCTGATGGGCATAACAGGCAGCTCTTGACGACGAGATAAGGAGATAGAATGAGACTATCTTTAGCCATACTGACCTAATACCCCCGGCACGTACTATAATTATCCTGTGGACAAGTACCATGCATGCCTCGTTTCTGCATCCATGTGCATTTGTTTGTCCCTGTGGCCCAAACGGATGATGTTTTGGAGCAAACAGTTGGAATTTAAGAAATGCATGTTTGTGAATTTAGCTTAAAGTCATTGTAAAATCCATCTGGAGCGATACAGTCCTTCAGATATGATGAAGCTTGATGTGATAGCTTTCAACTTTTCAAAAAAATGATATTGCAAGGATTTTTCTTACAAGATGAGATGAGGTGAACACTCATTCGGACTGTGTGGTGTATTCCAAAAAAAAAAATCTCACCAAATTTCTATGTGGTAATAATAAGCACTGATGCTCTATATTTATGTTTTATTAGTGGTTTTTGACCTGCGATATTTGGTGTTTGCAGGTCTTCGCTTTAGGCACCAACTGCAGTGGCTGTTTGGGACTCGGAGACCTTCAAAGCACCATTGAGCCACGCAGGATTGATGTGTTGTGTGGAAAGAAGATTACGTCCCTAAGCTATGGAACTGGACCTCATGTGGTTATCGCCACAGCAGGTAATCAGTTCAGAATGTAAAAGTTCAGCAAATCTTTCCTTTTTTTTTAACCTTGGGGTGAGGTTTTTACAGTAGGCAGAGGAGGGCAGCCTCGCACAAATCAAACAGCATAGGGCTGCGCGTTATATGTGATAGACGGTAGAAACTGACTATATTCTGAAAATAAATGAAGAAATATAGCATTTTAAATAGGGCTGTGTATTGGCAAGAGTTTGGTGATATGATACATATCATGACAGAGGGGTCACGATACGATATATCCCGATATCAAAAGAAAAAAATTGTATAGGTCGTCTGGACTCTGCAGTGTTCACTCATTTACAGGCCAGCGGTCACTCTTTCAGAGATGAGGATGTTCTCATTCTTGATAGAGAGGAACGTTGGTTTGAGAGAGGAGTAAAAGAAGCCATTTTTGTGAAGAAAGACTGTCCATTAAACAGAGGTGGAGGCCTCCACTTTCAGTTGTACCCCTCCTACAGTGCTGCTATTGCCAGTATCACTCCACCCCCTGTTAACAATAGGTGTTAATTAGGTGTCAGTTGTGTCTTGGTCCGGTTCGGTTCAGTTCTGGGCTTGTCAGCGGCTGGACCCTTC